TTGCTCCAGAAATCTGTTCAATATAGGTTGGATTTCTTCCAATGCTTCCTCTTTAAGGGGGTATTGTTTTCTATGAGTGTGTGAGGCCCCTTCTTTTAACAAAGTGATCGTTGGTGTGTCTCACTGTTTGGTGGACCTCAGAGGGGACAGAATTTGCTGCTGCTTTGTCTGTGAGTAGACATTGACACCAGAGAGCAGTTTCAGGTGGGACCTGTAGGTGGAGCCGTTGCTTCTCTTGAGTAAAGGTCTCTTGGGCATTCAACTTGCTTAACAAATCTCAGCCTAGGAGAGGTATTGGACAGGACAGTCTGGCATGTATAAGAAACTGTTTCTCAGTTTCTGTTCTCCCAGTTGGCACTCAAGAGGTTGGAGCATGGGTCACTGCTGAGTCTGACCAACAAGTCACCCCAACAACTGCCAGCATGTCTTCACTAAGGGAAGTTAATTTAGAGTTTAGGACAGAAAAGATAGTTCCAGTGTCAATCAAAAAATCTAATTGAGTCCCCACTGTCAATTTTACCCAGGGCTCCTGTGTGGATATTTGGATTGGAGCTTTCAGCGAGGCATGGAGCCTCACTAAGGGCCACACTTGAAAGGCCATTTGAGCTCCTGGGGTTTTCTTGTTACCTGGGGCACTTTGCACCTTTGGGCAGTGCTCTTTCCCATGTCCTTCCTCTTTACAAAGAGCACACTGATTGTCTCTCACTCTGGGGTGGCCTTTTCCACTCTTTGTTTTTGACTGTCTCAAAGGACCTTTGGCTGTCACAGCTAACAGAACATGCACAGGTTTCAATTTCTGTTTTTCCCTGGTGCTATATACTTTGAAGGTGATATCAACCAGCTGCAAGAGATTCGTGCCAGTTACCCTTTCCACACACTGTAGCCTTCTCCTTATAACTGGAGCACTCTGCCCCATAAAAGTCATATTAACCATGAGCATGTTTCAGGGGCTTCTGGATCTGCATCGGTATATTTCCGATATGCTGGATAGATCCATTCCAAAAAAGTCAGAGGGATCCTCATTAGCTTTTTGCTGTAACTCTCTGACCTTGTTTAAATTCCTCTGTCTAGGCACTCCCCTCTGGAGGCCTGCCAGAATACACTTCCAGTCATGATTTATTCTCATACTGCATGGGTCAATATGAGGATCCCAATTTGGTTCTGACATCGGAATGGCAGCATTGGAGTCTGGGATTTGATTAGGATCCTTGCCATGGCGATGCTGTGCCTCCACACCCTTGTCCATCACTGGTCTATGCTCATCTGCAGTATGCAATATATTCAGTAAGGTCTGTACGTCCACCCAGGTGGGACGGTACATTACAAAGATGGTTGTAAACAATTCCATCATTCCCTGGGGGTACTCTCTGTAAGTTGGGTTTGCGTTTTTCCAGTTCAATAAATCTGAGGTGGAAAATAGGGTGCAAGTCCAATAACACCTTGCCAACTGTCCTTGCACATTCAATGCTCCTATGGGTACTACCACAATGGTAATCATCCTGCTCCGGCTATGCCTGCCTTCTGGCTGAATTGAGTTCCCTGCTGGGTCTTGGAAGGGGAGACCATACCCATTTCCAAGTCATAACCTGGGAGACATAGGACTGAGGAATCGGTCCCAGCTGATCCCTCCCTGACCATGGGCCCTTCTACCAGAGATATACGGCATGGAGTTGGGGAGGTGTAATGGTGGGAGATGAGGTGTGATGAAATTTGGGTTAAAAGTGTTCATGGGGAGTAACCTAGCTAATTCCTCCTCAATTTTGTCATCTGAGATCTGGGTCCCTTCCCCAACTATGGGCAGAGGTTTCCTTTATAACATTCACTTTGTCCTGGGCCTTTTGGCCTCTTTATTGTGCAAACATAAAAGATTGTACATATGTGATCCCATTGACCTGACATTTGACAAAATAATTCCAATTGTAAGATAGTATAATAATTTAAGGTTCCATTCAATGACCACTTCTCCTCACATCCCAACACATACATTGGCCAGGTGGTATTACAATAATACATCATTCTTTATTCAGATATAGGTTCTTGGCTATAAGTTGATCATTCAACCAAAATTCTTCCCAAGGGACTTTCAGGTGAAACAGAAATGGAGCGTCCCATGTTAGGAAAAATCTCACAAACAATCAAACACAAACAATACAGGGAATTCCCAACACAAACAGTCTAAAATGCCAAGGCCTATCAATCAAATGGGAATCCAAAAGGGACAAATGCCACCCCAAATGGTGCCTCTACCACCCCAAATGATGCCTAGAAACAAATGTCCTGCCACAGGGCTGGAAGATTCAAAGCCCTCCCCAAATGGGCAGCCTGGTTCCCCTGTTCCCCGGGAACTGCAAATGAGCTCCAAATCTGAACCAGGTTCACTAGTTCCACTCAACCTCATGACTTCCACCCCAAACAGTGCCTCCAAACAAATGCCCTGCTATAGGGCTCCAAACGAATGCCTAGCCACAGAGCTGGAAGGTTCCCTCCCCAAATAGGTGGAATCAAGGGTCTTGGCATGCACGCCAGAGAACTTAGAAAAATAGCTGAGACTGTCTGAACATTTCTAGATCCATTTCCTTCTCATAACAAGGTTCAGGTCGCTAGGAGCTGCATCTGATTCTGGGGCAGAGACAGAAGCTCTGTAAATGTTAAACAGGCTCTGGCAGCTACCGGAGCGGTTCCTCTCTCTCTCACCCAAAAAGATGGTGCTTTTCCCAGTGGAGACCCACAGCTTGACCCAGGGCTGCTCCCTGCCTCTTGCAGCTGCTGCCGGCTGTAGTCACAGGATGCTGTTCCGGCAAGGGATCCCACCCAGGATACCTAATTCTGTTACCAAAACCTCGGCACTTGTCCCCAAGGCCACATCAGAAGAACAAGGACAAGTTGTTTGAGGAAAAAGAAAGAGTAGTTTATTAATTTGCCAGCAAATGAGGAGATTGGCAGACTCTTGTCTTAAAGTACCAATGTCCTCTTTCTGAGCAAAGGTACAGAGCTGTCAAAGGTTCTGATCCATCCCATGTTTGCCTAGGACAATCTCATGACCTTGGATTCATCCCATCTTGGGGTAAGACAATCTCATGACCTCTGCCTGGACAATTCCCTTGAGCCATCTCCTGTGGTTCAAAGAACAAAGGAAAATCTCCTGTCCCTCCCAACTACTGGACTGGGACAGGGATGCAGGTTTTAATTCCCAAAAGGAGTGGGTGAGGTTTTAGAGAGACAGAAAGCATTTTTACCCTTTTTCGGGCCATTCCCCCTGTTGCACACATATTTAAATGGAAGAAGTCAGACACAAAAAATGGGTATATTGCATGATTCCAAAACTAATCTATATGATAATACCAGTCAGAACAATTGTGGCTACTTTCTGGAGCTGAGTAATTGGAGGAAACATAAAGGAGGCTTCTGGCATGCTTGTAATGTTCTGTTTCTTGATCTGGGTGGTACCTATACAGGAGTGTTTATTATAAAGATTTTTGAGCCAAATCTTTATAATTTATTTATCTGTATCTGTTTTATAGGTCAATAAAAAATTTATTTAAAATGTAAAAATTCACCTAGCACTCTGAGAGGCCAAGGCAGGAGGATTGCTTGAGCTCAGGAGTTCAAGACCAACCTGAGCAAGAGCAAGACCCCTTCTCTACTAAAAATAGAAAAATTAGCCAGGCATCATGGGGCGCATATGTAATCCCAGCTACTTGGGAGTCTGAGGCAGGAGGATTACTGGAGCCCAGGAGTTTGAGGTTGTAGTGAGCTAGCATGACATCACTGTACTGGGACAACAGAACAAGACTCTGTCTCCAAAAAAAAAAAAATTAAAACCAAAACTACAAAAAAGAAAATCTAACTTTTAAACATGTGCTCACAATGAAAACACAAGCACCAGATCAACATAAATAAGTTTGGAAGGAACAAGCACTTACCTGGAGAGCACTTCAAGCATTTGTAATATTAGAAGCAGAAAATAAAATGAATATGTTTAATAATATAGAAGAGATAAAAACATAATCAGAGGACAAAATATTATTGGTTTTACAACCAGATTGATTGAAAAAGATCTAAATAAACCCCGTAGAAATGAAAAATATATAATCATTGAAGTTTTTTAAAAATTTAATTTATGGGTGGTTAAAGATTCGATTAGGCATGATTGAGGAGAAAATTGGTGGTGTGGAGGACAAGTCTAAAGAAATCATTCAAAATGCAACAACAAAAAGAAAAAGATGAAACAAAAGAGGTTGAGACACATGGAGAACAGAAGAAAAAATTATAACAGATGATGAATTGAAATTCCAGAAGAAAAACATGTGTGTGTGTATGTGTGTGTAGAGAAAGAAGGGCTAATTTTTCAAGAATTATAAAAGATATAAATCTATAAAGAGAAAATTATAATAAATACCAAATAAGGAAACAACCAAATCCATACCTAGCAATATAGTGACTCTGGGGACCATTAAAGTGATTATCTATTAATAATTCTCTTTCCTAGTTACTAATCTGATTATTGGTAACAAAATACATGAACCAAAATTCCTCTCCTTTGATTCTTCCAATATTGTTCCATAGGATATGACATCATCTTGCTGAATTAATTTTATAACTACAAGTCTTCAAATGGTTTTAGAGCTGCTTTGAAATTTTACGTCCTCAGAGGCCTATATAATATTTGCCTTACTCTATGATCGCCCCTCAAATAACTTTTCATACTTCATTCTCCAAAACAATCACGGAGAACTATGGAAGTGATTAAAGCTGAAATAGAAATGTCCTCTTAAAGCTGAAATAGAAATTATCAGTCTTTGCAAATAAAAGGTTATATTCAAAGAAACTTCTCAAACATTTGTGATTTGGATGTCAACAGTATCTCTTCATAATGATTTTTGCCACATTTCGGAATTTAATGATGATTCGTCATTATGCATAATGTGTCTGTGTGCCATACATTTTTTGTAACAATTTGTCAAATTTTCCTTTTCTTTCCTTTCCTTTTCTTTCTCTAGCAAAAATAGATCCCCCAGTCATGAATATAACCCAAGTGAATGGATCTTTGTTGGTGACTCTCCGTGCTCCAGATTTGCCATATAGAGACCAAAAGGGGACAAATATATCTATGGAAAATTACTATGAATTAGTATACCGTGTTTTTATAATTAACAATTCACTAGAAAAGGTAAGTCCAGATGGATTGATAAGGTTAGTATTTTTTCTTCTATTTATTTAACTAGCATTTTGGCCATATCCTATGTTCTGTCTTTTGCTACGTTATCTCCTCTTATTTTTCTGTTATCTTTTTAAAATTCCTTCTTACTTCACCATCATTGATCAACAGCTAGTGCTCACACTACCATCAGAATTTGCGTATGTGTGTGCACCTATGTGTGCCTTTCAGTACCTCAGCTTGTCTCTGCTTGGTCTTCCCTGCATATCTAAAGATTGATATTAACAATAATCAATTCCATGTGACCGTGAGTATTCATTTTTATGGGCTTTACACATTTAATTTTAAAGTAACTTTTGAATCACAGCATTATAAATTTGCACAAATTTTGTTATGATAGTCTATTCTGCCATCAGTGCCTATATCTGGGTTTGGTGGATAATTGAATGGTTTTTGGTACCCATGTAAGATGGGATTCCTTTGGCTGTAAGGAGCGGAAACCCCATTCAAACTTGTTTAGATACAAAAGAGGAAGGGCGGGAGGGGGGAAGTTGTATTAGGGGACAGATGAGCCATCTCGGAGACCGGCAGAGCAGGAAATGGCGCGCTGGCAGGCTTTGGTGTGACAGGGAAATGGGTAGGGAGCTGTGTAGGACCCTGCTCTGTCTGTTGGACTTCCTGTCTGTCTGTGGCCACAGGCTGCACATCTACAGTCATCTCTGCGCGTCTACTCCATTCTCCTCGCTGCACAATTCAAATCTGGAAATAGAGACGCTGACCACAGGGTCAGTCAGTCATCAGGGAGTAGCTCCTGAAGGCCACTTGATTCGTCCCTTTACCAGGCTATGGCCTGGGACTCAGGAAGGAGGATGTGTCCGGGAAGGAAGCCTAAAACCCATAAATTATATTTGCTGCTTCTAATATCTACCACAGCGACCACTTGCTACCAGGACCGTGTACACCTTATTAATTTTAACAAAAATTGGTGACTTCCTGGCATGCACATATCATCTGATTTTTTTTTTCCCCTGTGTACAGGAGCAAAAGGTGTATGAAGGGGCTCACAGAATTGTCGAAATCAAAGCTCTAGCACCTCACTCTGGTTACTGTGCAGTGGCAGAAATGTATCAACCCACGTTAGACAGAAGTAGTCGGAGAAGTGAAGAGAGCTGTGTGGAAATTCCATGACGCGGTGTGGGGTGCTCAGAGACACGGCCATCGAAAGCTCCCTGAGCATGCACGGCTCATGTTTGAAGGATCTTACTTAGAACTGTTTTCATATTTTCTTAAAGCAGTGTTCACCGTTTTGCTTCAGGGACTTCTTTGTTTATCCGTTCTTTATTTCATTTGTAAACTATACTTGAACAATACCCCCGCCCAAAAAATGAGAATTAAAAGAAGAAGCAGAGGATATAGGACTCTATGAAATACGGAACTTTATTTCTGCATGCAACATCGCTAATAACAATCTTAATAATAAAAATTTAAGAACCAAGTCATTTAATAAAGTGTTGTAATAAGTTTTTTAAAATAACATTACAGACTTAGTCCTGGAAAAATCCTTTTCACTCTCTATTAAGCCAGCTAAATTGACACAGATATGCCACTTAAAACTTTTATATAAAAAAGTATTTTTCATACATTTCTGTTTCATGTGAGTATGCTTTTTATATTTTTGATGAAAAATTTCTACTTAACGAACCAAAATTTTGTTTTAAATTCTATTCTCTGTAAATAAGAACGGTGTTTGAAAAGAAAACTCTCATGATCTCAGGATTAATATCTGGATTAAGTTTATCAACAACATCTAAATATTGAAGGAGGTCTACTCAACACAATTTTCCCTCATGTGACATATACATTAAGGAGTTCTGTCTTCGTTTGGTTTTGTTTTGAATGTTATCTTAGAAGAAGTTGTCCTTATCCTCAAAACTAGATATAATACCTTTCAGCAACAAAGAAGAAAAGAAACTTTAACTGCAAGTCTATGCCGCATTCATGACTCAGCCCTCTTTGCAAAGGGTCTCGCTACAATAGCACCTGCATAATGTCTATACAGGTGGATCCATGAATGACAGTTTGATTGGGGACAGTTGGGGTCCAGGTAGAGAACTCAGCTTGAAGCTGAAAGCACACAGTGGGTGGAAGGTTTGTTTGGGAGGAGGACTAGTGTGGGTGGTGATTACAAACAGTATAAGGCTAATCGAAGCCAGAACCTCCCTCACCTACCCGCTCCTTCTCCTGAGTACACAGCCAGTGGCCTAAGGGTCAGTGTGAGCAACAGAAAGCTGCCCCCTTTATTGCACTCAGTCTTTATATGTAGTTAAGATTATCTTTCTTGCAAGGAGACATATGTCAGAGAACATCTATGTAATTCCCCATGAAAATTGCTCCAAAATGCGACAAGAATATAGTCGGTGCTTCTGGCTATATATTAATGTAATTACTCACAATAATAAACAGATTGAAAGTATTCAGAAATGTATGGGAGGAGAGAGTAAGAGAGCAAGAGCTAGAGAACTGGTTTCGTTGCTTCCCATATGGTCAGAAAATGTTGAGCATAGACCTAGAGACTGAAAAAAATTATTTTTATGTCTGTTTTTGTATTATGATTATTATTATTACTATTTTGCTTACTACTGTTTGTCCTTTTGGGGGAGGGTGATGAATTAAGAGCAGTGGGGTGGGTGGGGAGTGAGGATTGTGTGTGGCCAGAAGCATTTAAGTGTATGAAATTCAGTAGTCCTAAAGCTTGACTTATAAGAAACAAAAAACATTTATGGTTGCTTCACGAAAGTTGTGAGGTAGCATCAAGTTTTGTTTTTATTTTGTTTGCCTTGCTTTGGTTTTGCCTGTGTGCTTAGGCAAGTACAAAATACTTTGTGAAAATCATAATGGTCACATTCTTCATTGTATTAGTAGTATATTGTCATATTATTTCAATAAATCGTTTAAATTTTTCTTTTGCATTCTGGAATATTTGTTATTTGGGCTTTTAAAAGAAGATTACAATGTTTAAGTTGATCAGATACAATCCCAGTGAGAAATCATAGGCCCACACTAAGTCCCAACCAGAAAGGAGCAAACAACATTGAGCAGGAACTACAGGCACTGGTTGAACTTGCCCTGTGATCCAACAATAATTCCACTCCTATAGCTGCTGGGGTCAAAATCTTCAGGACCACCTTTGTCTCCTCCCTTCTCTCACATTCTATATTCAATACATTGATCAATTCTGCTGGATCTACTCCAAACGGTGACGCTCATTCAGCTTAGCTTAGCACCTCTGAGGACCACAGAGGACCCCAGTGGTAAGGACAGTAGGTGTTCAAGGTGGCGATCAGGGCTGCCAGGGTCCTCTTGCTTACCTTTTCCCCACAGGTAGATGTCCCTACCTGGCTGATCAGACTAGGAGAAGGAGTAGCAGAGGCAAGGTGTTTCCTTCCATTCTCAACGTGGCCATCCTGGGTTTCTGCTACTCCTTTCATGTAGCTTGTGCTCTCCTTTAATTATTTGTATCAAAATATGATTGCTTATTCATTCTTTTGGCTGCCTTCTTTTGGGAGGATGAGGGGGAGAACCTTCTAGTTGGCCATCTTGCTGATGTCACTCTTAAGTTGTACTTAAGGCTAGGATCAATAATGTCTATGGTATCTTGATTTGCAAACAAAAAATAAGAAATTTATGTTGTAAATTAAGCTCCAATGTTTCCAAGATGAAAAGAAAAAGAAAAAAAAACCTGGTGAGATAAAATCTGATTGAGAATGAACTCTAGACAAGCCTTTAAAAATCATAACCATTTTGAAATTCTTGCACCAAATTATATGGTTTCTCTCACTTACAGGTCATTTATCCTGAGAAATAAGTGACCTTGGAGACTAGAACTTTTCTTATTGTTTTGGTGGAATTTCTTTTATTTATTTTATCCTGCTTGTTGGGATCATGTTTCCTGGAAAGGAAAGTAGGCCTTTGTTTCTAAACAATAACAAAACTCACTACATGGTCAACTGCTAGATGTTGCTTAGGCTGAAACTCCAAAATGGATCCTTACGGAATAGGGAATGCCCAAGGACAGGAACCTCGCCCTCCACGCCCCAAAGATATTAATATAAATCTTTATTCAGCTGAGACCTCAATCCCTTCTAGCATTTCTTCTACAATAGCTAGCCTCTCTTTCCCCACAGCACCAGGGCATGATGAGGGCAGTGGCTGGTCCGCCAGCATTCCTCCCGCCCCGGGAGCCCTACCTCTTCCTCCTTCCAACTGTGGGTCACATACAGAAAGCAGCCAGTTATGCCGGGCTGACACTCCCACCACTGAGCCAGTTCTGCCAGATATTTGCATGAGGGGCTTTATGTCTGTAAAAGATTGATTTGGATGGTGAAACTGATTGCAGACAATGCTGTGCAAATGGAAATATATGTTTTAGACAGAAGGGCTCTTCACCCTGCACCTAAAATCATATTGTGCCCAAGGCTGATGGTCCTGTAGATGGGTCCATTTCATCTTTTTAGAGGTTTGGGCAGGCAGGAGCTGGGTGGGAGGAGGCAGAGGGTAGCTAGTGGCCCTCTTAGCCTACGCTGTGCACTCCCATCCCCAAATTCCCATACCACAGCCCCCAGAGCTCTGCTCACTCTCTCCCTCCCCTGTCCCTATCTGTCACCTTGTCAAAGGGGTCTGCCCACCTCCCACACACATATGCACAGGGCCATCACCTGGTGGCACCTGCCTCAGGTAGGTCAATCAGGGTCTCTCAAATACTCCCATGGAGAGTGAGGAGAGAGGCTGGCTCTCTCCACTGGAGTCACTTGCTGTAAGGCTCTGCTAGGCCAGGGGCTGCCGCCAGCAACTTTCCCAGCAGAGGGAGAAAGTCCGCAGAGAATGAAGCCTAAGAGAAGGAAGCAGAGGGGAGATGAAAAGAGACAAATTTCCAATGGTATTCAAGTAAATCCAGCTGTGCTGAAAAACAGCCCAGCTTCTGAACTTGAACTTTAAATGAACAAATTACTTTCCCCCTTACTTTACTTTGAGTTGAATTTCTATCACTTTCGACCAAAAGATCATTGACTAATAGAACAAAATAACAAGTGTACGTGATATGAATTATGCATTGTATTAACAAAAATAAACTTCTTTTATGTCTACCGTCACCATTCAACATTGAGGAGAACGTTGCCGGAAATGTATCTTTCTGCAGATGATGCAATTAATGCCATGTGAGCACAGGGAAAGCCCACAGGAAGGGGCGTGGTTATTCTGGTCAGGGCTTTATCAGAGAAGATGTCAGCTGAGGTCTTCTGTTTTCAGCAAATTCTCATCTTGGTTATATCACGTGGTTCAAGTCACAGCTTCCTTGGCACTAATCACAAGTGAGATTTTATTTCTACTCATTTTTATAACAGCAAATCAAGGTCCCATATGATATTTTTCAGAGGTCATATGCCTTATAGGAATGCTATAACCAAGCAGGTATCTCCCTTTTGCTCTATTTAATATAATCTTCAAGGTCAAAAAGTCATTTTAGAATGCTGCAACTTTAGGCCAGAAATATTTATTGACTGACATCTTAATACATGGCCAGCGCAAAGCTAGTGAACAAAACTCTACTGTATACACATCAACATTATCCTCAGTACTTGTTTCAAATGGTTACTCTCTCTCTCTCTCTCTCTCTCTCTCTCACACACACACACACACACACACACACACACACAATATCTGCCACTGTAGGCTCCTAGCATGCCATCTCTACTATTTTGAGAACAGGGCTTTGTAGCAAAAAATAAAAAAATAAAAAATAAAAATGGCTCTGCTTCTCAGTGTAGAGTTATAAGAGAGATTGGTTTTTTGGATAAGTCCTTAAGCTAAAAGCCTAAAAGCCTGAGAACAGACTTTCTTCCTGCCTAAATTCCTGCCAATTCTTGACTTCACTACTTCCGTTGATACTTCTGCAGAGAACATTTTGAAATGTTTAAAAATAATCTGTTGGGTTTTTTTTTGTTGTTGTTGTTGTTCCTTTTCAAAATAACCCAGGGCACAAATGGGGTGGGTCGTTGTTGATGTTTTGCAACAATGGCAAGAATGGAGCTGGGCAGGCCTGACAGGATCAGGCAGCCAAGGCCTCCACAAGCTGGGATGGTATTCTGATAGCTCAAGTTTATCAACAAAAGTAATGACTCTCATTCATTTAAGGAAAAGTTAGTTGAGATCGTTACTCGTGCTTTTCAGAAGCCTATGAAAGGAAAAGTGAACCCTCATTGTTCTGGAAGGAAAATGATGAATCAAATCTTAAGGCTAAGATCTGAACCTAGTCTCTCAGCAACTACACTCTGAACGGGCAAAAATTCCTTCGCCTTCCTGCAACTGAGTGAGGAAAAACAATTGCTCTGATAGGAAAGCAGCTTCAAGGGTTTCCTTCAGGAGCACAGCTGCTAGGACAGTGTGTAGG